GAATTGACAGAGACGCAGGAAAATAGACATTCTCATATGTGGTTGCAGAAGTGTAAATTGGCAAACCTTTTAAAGGGACAAGTTGGCAGTATCCATCAAAATGTAAATACATATAACATTTGACCCAGAAATTCTGCTTCTAGAAGCTTGTCTTACAGATTGCACACACACATATATGAATGTCTGTATATGTATGGGCTTCCTTGGTAACTCAGCTGGTAAAGAATCCACGGGCAAGGCAGGAGACCCTGGTCCGATTCCTGGGTCGGGAAGATACCCACTCCGGTATCCTTGGGCTTCCTGGTGACTCAGTAAAGAATCTGCCTGCAATGTGGGAGACCTGGGTTCGATCTCTTGGTTGGGAAGATCCCCTGGAAGAGGGCATGGCAAACCACTCAGTATCCTCGCCTGGAGAATTCCCATGGACAGAGAAGCCTGGCAAGCTACAGTCCACGGGCTTACAAAGAGCTGGACACAACTGAGCGACTAAGCACAGCACAGCACATGTGTGTGCACAAATGCATCCCACAGCAAGGCAACTCAATATAATAGCTCTCATAATAAAAATCTGGAAACAACATAAACACCAAAAACTAAAGGACTGATTAAGATGGCATACTAGCATTATAAAATGCTATGTAACTACACTATAGATAATGCAATCATTTTATTGAAAAATATTTTCAATAAATATATATTTTAATGAAATAGACAAGATGTACACCTAAATATTATCAGTGGACTTTTATCTGGATAGTAGAGTGGCAGCAACTTACTTTTTTCCCTGTACTTTTCTACGTTTCTCAAAATCTCAGTATTACTCATGTATTGTAATGAGCAGGAAAAAGTAATGCAAGCTTTCTCCAGAGATGAAAGGAATTCCAGTACCTAATTTTTTGTGCACTTGCATTCTCATGCACTGTCTTCAAATTCTATGCTTATAGTAGCCAACCTGCTAAACACATTCAATTTTTTAATTTGTCACAAGTCTCTACCACTACCTCAATGAATTCAATACTGTAATCAATAATGTAGTTACAATTTGATCTTGGGCCAAGAAGTAAAACTGCCACTCTGCTCATGTAAAGAGACAGGAAAGGACAATGATGAGAGCAAGGAGGGAAAAACTGGGTGTTTATCCTGCAAGCCGCAAGCCTTCAGTTTTATCCATTACAGGGAACAAAATTACTTTTGCTTCAACAACTTTTCTTTATCCCCATGAGAAGTGTGATTTATTACATTCATTCACAATGATCTATTGCTTAACAAATTTGAATACAGTATTCCAAAGAATAGCAAGGAGAGATAAGAAAGCCTTCCTCAGTGATCAATGCAAAGGAATAGAGGAATATAATAGAATGGGAAAGACTAGAGATCTCTTCAAGAAAATTAGATACCAAGGGAACTTTTCATGCAAAGATGGGCACAATAAAGGACAGAAATGGTATGGACCTAACAGAAGCAGAAGATATTAAGACGAGGNGCAAAGTAATGTCTCTGCTTTTTAATATGCTGTCTAGGTTGGTCATAACTTTCCTTTCAAGTAGTAAGCATCTTTTAATTTCATGGCTGCACTCACCATCTGCAGTGATTTTGGCGCCCAAGAAAGTTAAGTCTGTCACTGTTTTCATTGTTTCCCCATTGTTTACAGCGTACCTAGGAGGGCATGAGATTTTGAGCCAGTCCAGACCTGGCTGATGCCATCCTGTGTGGCTTTGGTGGGGTTGGCTGGCCTGAGGGAGCCTCCGGTTCCTCACTTGTGTGAAGGGGGCAATGATAGTACCTGCCTCACTCTTGTGAGCATTCAGTCCTCAACACAGCTCCTTGTCCACAGCAGGCACTTAATAAGGTTAGTTTCCGCTTTGCTATTTGTTACCACTGCATCCCCCGCTGCGATGGGTGGTGGGGAGGGTAAAGGTGGCTGAGGCCAGCACCTGGGAGTTCCAGTGACAGACTTTACTTTTTTGGGCTCCAAAATCACTGCAGATGGTGACTGCAGCCATGAAATTAAAAGATGCCTGCTCCTTGGAAGAAAAGGTATGACCAACCTAGACAGCATATTAAAAGCAGAAACATTACTTTGCCAACAAAGGTCCATCTAGTCAAAGCTACGGTTTTTCCAGTAGTCATATATGAATGTGAGAGTTGGACTATAAAGAAAGCTGAGAGATGAAGAATTGATGTTTTTGAACTGTGGTGTTGGAGGAGACTCTTGAGAGTCCCTTGGACTGCAAGGAGATCAAACCAGTCCATCCTTAAGGAAATCAGTCCTGGGTGTTCATTGGAAGGACTGATGCCGAAGCTGAAACTCCAATACTTTGGCCACTTGATTTGAAGAACTGACTCATTTGAAAAGACCTTGATTCTAGGAAAGATTGAATGCAGGAGGAGAAAGGGACAACAGAGGATTCGAGGGATGGATAGCATCACCGACTCAATGGACACGAGTTTGAGTAAACTCCGGGAGTTGGTGATGGACAGGGAGGCCTGGTGTGCTGCAGTCCATGAGGTCACAAAGAGTCAGACACGAGTGAGCGACTGAACTGAACTGATTGCTTATGTAAGCCAGGATACCAAAGCAGGAAACTGAGGCACATGCTTTAAGGTTTAGATCCCATCTAACTATACCTCGACTGCAATAGCGGGGAAGTAGAGTTCCATGTAAATATGCCATTTGTGATATACGCACTTACAGTTCCTCTGGAACTGCCAGTGTGTGTGGAGCCTGAGAAATGCTCCATAGCCTTACACTGTTGACTTCAGAGAGAATCCTAACCACACTTGGGAGGAAATGTTGTGTACCTGTGATCTTGATGACTTACTTAGACACCCTTCATCACAGGTACCTTGGGAACTTCTCCAGCCATTTTAAGGAATTAAATGCTTTGGATCATATCTGTTAGTGGCTCCTGAACATTTTATAAGAGAAATTTAAGAGTAATCTGGAAGGGAAACTGGCATACTGTAGTCCATGGGGCGCAAAGAGCCAGACAAGACTTAGTGAATGAACAACAATAACAATGATCTACCAGCTCAACTCCAGAAAAATAAATGACCCAATCAAAAAATGGGCCAAAGAACTAAACAGACATTTCTCCAAGGAAGACATACAGATGGCTAACAAACACATGAAAAGATGCTCAACATCACTCATTATCAGAGAAATGCAAATCAAAACCACAATGAGGTACCATTATACGCCAGTCAGGATGGCTGCTATCCAAAAGTCTACAAGCAATAAATGCTGGAGAGGGTGTGGAGAAAAGGGAACCCTCTTACACTGTTGGTGGGAATGCAAACTAGTACAGCCACTATGGAAAACAGTGTGGAGATTTCTTAAAAAGCTGGAAATAGAACTGCCATATGACCCAGCAATCCCACTTCTGGGCATACACACCAAGGAAACCAGATCTGAAAGAGACACGTGCACCCCAATGTTCATCGCAGCACTGTTTATAATAGCCAGGACATGGAAGCAACCTAGATGCCCATCAGCAGACGAATGGATGAGGAAGCTGTGGTACATATACACCATGGAATATTACTCAGCCATTAAAAAGAATTCATTTGAATCAGTTCTAATGAGATGGATGAAACTGGAGCCCATTATACAGAGCGAAGTAAGCCAGAAAGATAAAGACCATTACAGTATACTAACACATATATATGGAATTTAGAAAGATGGTAACGATAACCCTATATGCAAAACAGAAAAAGAGACTCAGATGTATAGAACAGACTTGTGGACTCTGGGAGAAGGCGAGGGTGGGATGTTTCAAGAGAACAGCATTGAAACATGTATATTATCTAGGGTGAAACAGATCACCAGCCCAGGTTGGGTGCATGAGACAAGTGCTCGGGCCTGGTGCACTGGGAAGACCCAGAGGGATCGGGTGGAGAGGGAGGTGGGAGGGGGGACCGGGATGGGGAATACATGTAAATCCATGGCTAATTCATTTCAATGTATGACAAAAACCACTGCAATGATGTAAAGTAATTAGCCTCCAACTAATAAAAATAAATGGAAAAAAAAAATTTTTTTAATAATTTTTCTACATCATCTTACTGTTTGGATAATTTTAAAATAATTTAATACATTACATAATTAAAAAAAAACAATAACAATGATCTGGAAGGAGGAAGGATTAGGAGCAGCAACTTTCAAAATATTTTACCTCAGTTTACAGAAATGGTTATTTTATTTCTCATCTCACATTATGGTTCATTACAAATATATGTGTAACATGCATAAATATATCCACAGAAACATGCAATCACATGACTTAAAAGTTTTATGAAACCATACGTATGCTATGTGTGACACACTTTGACATGTTCTATTATGTTGATGTGTTCGTCTATTCCGTGCTTCTAAAAATTCCATCCAAATCTCGATAAAAGTATTCCAACAGTCCACCATGGTAGCAACCCAAAGTTGAAAATGCAATGGGGAGGAGTCTTCAGGGCCTGGATTTATGATCATTTAGGCCTGTGGCCTCACAAGTGGTGACATCTTTCTGCTCTGAATTCTCAGGGGAGAAAAGCTTGAGAACTTAGGAGGAGTGGGAGTATTCAGAATCACAAATTTCCAAAATCCTATCTATGGAAAGGAAATCAACCCTGAATACTCATTAGAAGGACAGATGGTGAAGCTGAAGCTCCAGTACTTTGGCCACCTGATGCAAAGAGCCAACTCATCAGAAAAGACCCTGATGCTAGGAGAGACTGAAGGCAGGAGGAGAAGGGGGCAACAGAGGATGAGATGGCTGGATGGCATCACAGACTCAATGGACATGAGTTTGAGCAAACTCCGGGAGATAGTGAAGGACAAGGAAGCCTGGCATGCTGCAGTCCACGGGGTCACAAAGAGTCGGACACAACTGAGCAACTGAACAACATCATCTATGGAAATCGTATCGACTGAGATGAGTTATTGGCCCTGTCTCACAACCCCTTTTTGACAGCCTAGCAGCAGGAGGGGAAACCGGAGGCAGAGTTACCGTAGAAGGAGCTGTTGAAGAGTTCAATGTTGAAGAAAGCGTAGTCCCCGCTGGTCATTCCGTGCCTGTGCGCCGCCAGCATGATCCCCCGGATGGTGTCGCTGCTCGCACACATGATCACCACTGCGGGGAGGAAAAAACAGATGCATGAAATGGCCCTGCACAGAGGACAGCATCTGACATGGACCAGGGCTCTGCTAAGGTCCTACAGAATCCTCACAAATTACTCATTGAGTTACAAAGAGCAGAAGAGAAAACGTGGCAGTGGAGAACGCTATCTGTCACCACCACAACCAAGTGATGGATGCCAACGGTAGCCACCATGTGGACAGGCTCATGAGCCCCCTGCTGTAACACATCAGGGGCCCCAAACCTCAAAAGTGGCCACCTCAATCTAATCAGAAGGAAGCAGCTGCAAGCCCAGTTTGGGGGACAGTGACCAGAACAGTGAACCTACACCCTTTAAAATGGTCACTTTCATGAAAAACAAAAATGGCCTGAGAAAACATTCTAGACCAGCAGAGACTTCGGGAAACAGAAAGCTGAATGCACTGTGTGATCCTGGATTGGATCCTGGGCCTTAAAAATAATAATAATAAAAGTTTTTTCTATAAATGGCATTGTTGAGACAACTGGATAAATTTGAATAAGGTCTATAAATTGGGTAATAGTATTGTGTTAATGTTCTTGCTTTTCATAATTCTACTGTGGTTCTATGAGTGAATGTTCTTGCTCTTGGGAAGTACACACTTCAATTTTTAGGGGTACAAGAGCATGATGACTGTACTTATTCTCAAATAGTTCATAAAAATATAGCAATATCTGTGTGTATATATGTACATGAGTATATATTTGGAAGGGGTAGGGGAGAGAGGGGAAAGATTTGGAATGACAAAGCATAGTGGCAGAACATTTACCACTAGTGAAAATCTGGGTGAAGGCAAGACAGAGGTGCTTTATACTTTCTTACATCCTTTCCAAAAATACAAGATTATTTCAAAATAAATCTTTTTAAAATACTTCAAGTAAATTCCCAGATTGGCCCAATATAAGATAGTGAGACATGTCAACTGCTTTTTATATCTTACTAGCATAACGCTGCTAGTGGTAAAGAACCTTCCTGCCAATGCCGGACACAAAAGAGACCAGGTGCGATCCCTGGGTCTGGAAGATCTCCTGGAGGAGGGTATGGCAATCCACTCCAATATTCTTGCCTGAGAATCCCATGGACAGAGCAGCCTGGTGGGCTACAGTTCATGGGGAGGCAAAGAGTCAGCCACAACTGAAGACACTTTAGCACAGCATAGCACAGTAAATACATTTTCCTCAGAAAACAACTTGAAGGGTTTTCATTTGGCAAATCAGAGGATGCAGCAGGTGGGACAGGCTTTCTGATGTCTCCATTACCTGAATGGAGAACACTTTTTCTAAAGCTGTCTCAACACATAGAGGAAATAGCTACCAAGATTCCAGGTCCCTTCCCACATGCTCTCGGTTCACATCCACACTGTCAGAGCCGAGAGGCTTTAAGCAGCTGCAGAATACTCTTCCCTGTCACGTAACAACTACAATGGACGAAAGGGAAGAGAGACCTGGCCTTCACCCACTTATCTGGATCACTGTCGAAGGCCCCTGACCCCCATGACTGCGCCCGCTGTGCTTTCCTGCACTCAGAGGAAAGGAGAGGCCTGGGTGCCATAACCGCATTATCACCACACACTCCAGCCCTGTGCCGTGTGCATGTTCTTTGTAAAAGCACGGGTGAGGAATGATGCAGAACAAACTTCAGGCTGTGCCAAAGCCGCCTTGGCAACCTGCGCCGAGGGCCAGGCGCTTGCTGACATTTCGTTTACTGCACAGGTTAATTCAGAGTGTTAGGTCATGACTCTGACATTTCTTACGACATAACAGCTCAGGGTACAGGCTGAAAGCTCTGCAGAGCAAGTTTTTAAAACCATACCAAACTTCTTAAGATGTCTAACTGTGGGAGTAAGTTCTGTTTGTGCCTGGAAATATAGTTATATATCTAAAATAAATAGTCGAATTCCAAGATGCATCAGTAACGAAGTTTTTAAGAAATTTCTCATTACTCATTGTGACCTAAATATTTGTTATGCTCCGATTCGATTCTAGTCCCTTAAATGATAAGAGTCTACACAAGTGTGCAAGCTAAGTCACTTCAATCGGGCCTGACTCTTTGTGACCCCCGTGGACTATAGCCCACAGGCTCCTCTGTCCAGGGGATTCTCCAGGCAAGAATACTAGAGTGGGTTTCTGTGCCCTCCTCCAGCGGATATTCTTGATCCAGGGATCAAGGAATCTTGATCCAGGGATCTTGAACCCACTTTTCTTAGTCTCCTTCATTGGCATGCAGGTTCTTTACCACTAGCACCACCTGGAAAGACAAAAGGGCCAAGGTGTCCCACAAAACAGCCTGGGCTAAGGCTGGCCACAAGTGGATCCCAAGAGGCTCCAGGAAGCTCTGGCTGACTGTCCAACTGCAGCCATCATCATTTTTCAATCAACTGATCATAGTCAAGAGTCTAGTTCTAAATCACTCCCCATAAACAGAACCGGACTCTGTCAGCACATAAAGTGTAGAGTCACTGTTTGGGGAGAAGAATTCTAATAACCTAACTTAGATATTTTTAGCTAATCTGAAATGAAGATTAATTTCAATGAGGACCAAAATGGTCACAAATATGTTTGTGTCAATATAGACCTGGAGGTGCCAATTAAGGAGCCAAACTATAAGCAGCAGGATGTTAGTAAGGGTGCAATAAGGATGAGGAGGGTCAGCTGGAGGGTCCAGGCATCCGAAGGCATCAGGCCTTGATAAACTGAAGCACCCATCGGAAAGCTACACCTGGCTCAGGTCCGAACAGTCTGTGTCCTCAGGCCGGAGCACATGCTTCCCCAAGCCCTAGATGGGCCGTGCCCTACACTGGCCTGTCACTTCTTTTCTATTTTTACAGCCCTGGCCCTTCTCCTTCTCTCTTTCCCCATCACTACCAAGACCAACCCCCTCCAATGGCCACATTCTTTCTTTAAATGTCAGTACCTGCTTAAACTGAGCAAGAGTGACCTGGTGCAGCACAAGGCCTATCCAAAAAGACTGAACTTATTTTAAATCTCAGCCATTTCATGTGGATAAATGTAGTCCAGCTCTCAAAAGGAAAACCTAACCCCCAACTTCATGGGCTAGGTATTGTTTCCCTTCCTTAAAAGAAAACCCATAGTGCACACTGTCACTCAGTTTAAACTGGAGCAAACACTTAAAAACATTGGCTGAGCAGTCAGAACACAGAGTCCTTCTAGATTTGTGGGATGCTCCCCCAATCTGTCATGGCTTTTTCATTCATGCCTAATTCAACAGCATGTATTTTTAGCCTTTATACAATCCTTTGGAAGGTTTAAAATAGTGTTCACTAAAATAGCTTTCTCTTCTTCTCATGTTTCATCAGTTTACATAATGACTAATTAAACTGCATACTTATAATAAGTACAACTGGTATAAACAGATTTGTGAGAAGTGTGCTGGCAAACCTGGGAGAAGCAAGACTAGCTACCAGCTTTCACCATCAGCCAAAAAAGTTTATAGAGAAAAGGAGAGCATCAGCTAATCCTGAAAGCTGCTTAAGTGGAGGTCAATTCAGATAATTCCTTCTGTACTTAAATAGATTTAAAATGTACGTATTTAAATATATACTTAAACATATTAAATATATAAATACTAACTTGTGGGGTCAAATTGTTAAAATTTCTAAAAGAGGAAATGGTGGTGTGAGTCCCAGTTTCCGGATAGATTTTTCATCATTTTGCTCCATCTTTCCCTCCTTGCTGGAGAACTTGTGGGGTTCCACGTCACCCTCCACTCCCTGATTCCCACAATGTCTCTGTAAGTGGCATCTCCCTATAGCAACAAGTTCTTGCAATCATTTGCGAAGAGGTGGCTAGAGAAGTCAACTCCAGGAAGCATATTTGAGTAAGGGAGACACCCTTTCACCCATTTCAGCTTTCCACGTGGAGCAATCTCTAAGAGAAGGACACTCCTCATCTCCCTGTGTGCCTTCATTTACCCCCCTCTTCCCACCCTCAGAGGAAAAGGAGAGAACTGTCTGATGGCTGAGTCCAGAAGAGAAAACTGGGCATACTGGACTCAGCCCTTTCTTCCTTCCTCTTTGAGGAGCGTCTGCTTGCAGAGAGCACACATCATAGGCAACTTTCGCCCTGAAGTGAGGCCTGTCCTGGAGTGGGGTGCGCAGTACTAACTGTGATTTAGTGGATGACCCTGCCGAATTCTTGGGGGAAATAATAGCAGGCAGGCCCTTTTTGGTAACTGATCTAAATCCATGTTCTGCAATAGGTTTTTTATCAATAATAAAAATGATATTTTCATATTCTCCAACTGATGCCTGCATCCATCTTCTACTTAATTCTAAACTTATAAGGGAAAAGAGATGTTGTTCCATGGAAGCAAAGCAAGATATGCCATGTGCTGCAAATTCAAACTATGACAGGAGAAATTTAAAACTAAAACTCAACAGTATTGGGGGGTAGCCAAAGAAATAACTAAGTAAGAGGAACTTTTTTTAAATGACAGGTGGTAAATACAAGAAAAGGGATAAGAAAAACAGAGTCTTGAATCAAAAAGTCTAACATCTTTGGTTAAAAACTCTGACCAACTGCTCAGTCATTTACCCCAACCTATTCTAAAAATAAATCACTCTTGTATTGATTAAATGCTGTTATCACTATAGTTGTTATGCAGGCCAAGAATAATGACATATTAATAACCAAAAAAGATAAAACTTCAGTTCTTCATACAAAAATATTGTGTGCACAATAATTCTGGTTCTGCATCTTATGAGATGTATGACAAAGCAATGCTGACTTTTATTGCTTGAAAAAATATTTTTAAACACCCCTTTATAAAAATAAATTTATTACTGAATGTTAAATATTGAGGGCATAGTTGACTTTTTAAAAACAATGTATGCTCACATGCCTGTATTTTAGTGATATACACTGGCTACGACTTGTGAGGGAAAAAATGTTTATTATTGACTTTGATAGTAAATCCCTAAGAAGACTAAATAATACCCCTCAGTGTTTGATTCTACAGCACACACATAGCCAAATTAAATTTTAGTCATATTATCGAGATGGTGGCATTATTAGTTTAACCCTTTGAGAGATTAAAACTTTTGTGATCTGATTTTAAAGATGAACTTCAAGTCCAAAAAAAAAAAGTGCTAAAAATTTATCTCCAAAAGAGGGAGGAAAAAGACTCCCTAGTTCTATGATGTTTAATGCAGAATTTTCAAAGACAAAAACAGTTCCATTTTACACTTGAGTTGAGCAGAAATCAGAACCACCAAACACTGGTCTGGACAGGCCTGATTCTCACCCCACCTCTGTTTCACAGAGGAGGAAACTCTGAGAAAGTCAGGAAGTGACTTGGGCATGCCTGCAGCAGTTGAGTGCAGCCGCCAGATCCAAAGGGTCTGCTTCTCACCTCTGGGTTCTCTTCCCACGGTGTGGCCTCACTTTGTGGGAAAGGAGATTATCTCTGTAGATATGCCCTGACTGGGGATTCCCTGGCAGTTGGGTGGTAAAGAACCTGCCTGCCAAGCAGGAGACTTGGGTTCCATCTCTGGGTCCGGAAGATCCCCTGGAGAAGGCAATGTCAACCCACTCCAGTATTCTTGCCTGGAGAATCCCATGGACAGAGGAGCATGGAGGGCTGCACACAGTCCTTGGGGAAACAAAGAGTCAAACACCGCTTAACAAAAGACTGTGCCTCGACTACCCCCATCATAACTGGAGTGTGATAGCAGCCCAAGCTCCCTGGCCAATGAATGCCCGCCGCAAGCTAAGAGCTCTGAAAATTCAAACCCTACTCAGTCCTTGTACTGGGCCCCTATTTAACTCATTAACCACTTATGGTGAAGTAAAGGTGATCAGTAAAAGAGACTGCCAGAGAGAGCTGTTACCAAACATCTTTCTCTCTTGAGTGTTAGGGAATTTCAGCTGAGAGAAGAGGGCTTAAGGGAAGAAATTATTTTGTTTGTTTTTTTTTAATTTCTGAACATCTGCCAAGTCACTGTCAGAAATATTTTTTAGAGTAAGAATAGTAACTTTATCACCTGCAAAACATACAGGTCAGCCAAGCAAAGTTTGACCACTAAATTCAAACTTGGAAGAAAAAAAGTAAAGAGACTTGGGAACATCTGCTTTTGGGAATTGAAAAAATAATCAGCAGCAGCAGACTGTAGCCCAAGCTCTTCGAAGCCCCCCAGCCCCACCCCTCCCTACCCCCTGGCTCAGCCACAACATGTGAGGCCGAAGGATCCCCGGTGGGCTCGATCTGCCCTCATCCGGGCTGACCTCCACCACGAATCCCAGGCCACGTGCGCAGGAGGTCACGGCCGGCACTAAGGCCTTCACGGCGGTGGCAGCACAAACACGGTGGCCAACCGCGGATCTTGCCGGTAGGGGGACACACCCCCATCCCCAGTCCGAGCTGGAAAGTCTAGCTCCAGGCCCTCGAGAGCCGAGAGCTAAAGAACGCTGTTTGGGGTCTGCAGTGACCTGGGGACTGAGAACAGGAAAGAAGTAGATGTGACTTTCTCGGCCCGGCGTGGCGAATCCGCCGCCCTTGGATACAAGTGCCCTTTTTCATAATCTGCAAAGCCGGCGCCCTGCCTGCTTGGCTGGCAGGATTTCGGCGCAGACAGCCTGGAGTACGAACGCTCAAAACTTGGCCATGCCTCCCCACTGTCAACACCTCGCGCCTCTTCACTCTAAAGAGTGCGTTCACTCCCAGTGCGGGGTGGCCAAATTGGGAAGGGGGATGGTCGGAGCGCCCTCTTCCGCGGCGCCTTTACCCTCTGTCACCTGTTCCCCAGACCCCCTGCCTCCGGTTGCGCTGATCCCACGGCCAGCGCCCAGGTGACCAGCCATGCCAAGTCGTAGGCTATCCCTGCGCCTGGCTCGGCCCCTCTCCCCTTCCGTCTCCCCGCGTGGGTAGTGGGGAGCTTTACTGGGATTGCACCACTGACAATCCAGGCGCGTGAGCGCTTAGCGGGAGCCGGCGGGATCCCGCGAGCAAGCGTTTGCACCCCAAACCTGACACTGGTAAGGAGGGAACTGCGCTATGCTGGAATCTTCGCCCGCCTTCGCACAGGTCTACTGGGCAGTAAAACGAGCCGCATTGGGGGCTTCTGCGATTCTGTATCCGTGACCACCCGCTTCTCCTCCCATCTCCTACAGCCATAGCCACTATCCTCAACCTTGAGCTTTTTGGCCAGTCTCGTGGTTATTCAAATCCCCACAGACCCACAGAGAAAACTGGAGAGGGAAAGGAGGTTCAGTGCCCGCTTCTCCACCGCGCGCGCTCTCCCAAAGCCTAGCTGCTGGCGCACTGGAGACCACGGCACTGAGCGCGCCGGAGGCAGTGGGTGTCGCCAGGGTCCAGACACTGCGAGGCATTTTTTATGGAAACCACAGAAGCCCGTTTATAAGGGGCTGCAGGGGCCATGGAAGGAATGAGAAGGGCGAAACAATGAGCCTTTAAAAGAAAGCTGAGATCTGTGGAAGGAGCAGCAAGGGAAACCCGGGGACCGGAGCTGACCGTGAGGCGGCGCGCGGGCTGTGGAACTCAGTGTACGCTTCCTCGCTAGGAGCGGGCGCACGTCGGAAAAGGACCCAGTAACAAGTTCTTTGGACCTTGTCACGCTTTGAGACCGTGGTTGGAGCCGGGTACCCGCAGTGAGCCCCTAACCACCAGCCCAGCGCCAGACACAGGAGAACGAGAAAGAAAAAACCCAAGAGGTTTGACAGCACCTGTTGGACCAGGGCACGAGCCCGAGAAGGCTGCCTGCTCACATGCCCCACCCCCATGCTCCATCACTTCCCCAGGACCCTCTACGTACACCCCGCCATAACCATGGGTGATGGTTGAAGGTCGTCGCAGCCAGACTACGCACACTCGGGCGAGTCCCGGCGGGCGCTCCCTACTCTGATCCTCAGTGCAGCAGGGAGTAGTGGGGTCCCCAGGGGAGCAGCCAGGCATGTTAGGAGAGCCGCGGAAAGGGGCTGGGTTAGGGCCCGGGACCCAGGGAGCACTGCTGCTCACCTCGCTCACTGGCCTGGATGTGGCGCACGATGTCCTCCAGATCCAAGTCTTTGGTCTCATCGAAATTGTAGGCTGACGTGTGCAAGCCTTCCTCCTGGAAGACCTCATGGACCCCCTCGAGGGTAAAGAAGCAGTTCCGCTCCAGCTTGTCGTCGCTGTAGACCAGCACGGCGCGGCTCCACTGGTGGTGGCGGAACAGGGCGAGCATCATCTCGCCCATCTTGGCGTACGAGGGTGCCACGCGCGTAAGGTGCGAGTACTCCGTGTCCTTACGCTGGAAGCCGGCGGCCAGGGCCCCGGCAGACAGCATGGGGAGGTCCCAGTGCGACGCTAGCCGGGCCACCGGCGCCGCCGCGTACTCGCACACCGGCCCCAGGATGAGATCCGGCTTGGCTCCCCGCGCCGCCGCCACGCGGTCCACCAAGCTGAAGAGCGCGCGGTTGCCGCAGTCCGAGTCTTCGTAGGCCACCTGGAAGCGAGTGCCGGCTGGCAGGAGCCGCCGCCCGGTCGCATTGCCCTCCACGCTGCGCAGCGCGTACTCGATGGCCGGTCGCACCCGAGCCAGGGAGAACAGGTAAGAGTCGTCCTGGGGCAACAACACCAGAACCTCGATCTTCTGCGGCGGCAGCGCCTCTCTCTCTCGGCGCCCACCGCCCGGGCCCGCGCCCCCGCCGCCGCCGCCACCAGTGCAGTCGGCCAGTAACGCCCAGCCGAGCAGGACGCACGCGGAGAAAGTGAGGACCAGTAGGGACGGCATCGCGCCGCAGGAAAGCGCCTGCCCTCGCTGCGGACTCGCCCTCTGCCCCCCACCCACCCTACCTCTTTCCTCCCCACTCCTCTCCGAGGTCCCTGCGCCCCCTTGGGCGCTCTAAGAAAAAATAAAAGAATACCCCCTTCACTAACTAGCCAAAAAAGAGAGAGGAAGAGTCCTCCTTTGCAATGCCACTCGTTTAAAAAAAAAAAAAAGAAAAGAAAAGAAAGAAGACAGAAAAAGAAAAAGTTCACCGGGTGTAAACCTGTACTCCTATATTTATATATATACTTTTTATAAATACATAGATTAGCCCTCCCTTGATATATACTATTTTGCTTAGAGGTGGCTTCTTATATGGGCGTTGCTAAGGTTGCTTTGGAAAGCGCATTTGTAAAAGAAGAAAAAGTTAGACTTGTCCAAGTGCTTGTAATTGACGGTGCATCTCCCTCGCGTTTGATCTCATTGATTCGCGCCGGTTCCCGGATCCATAACCCGCGTTTAAATAGCGTGGCAGCGGCGGAGCGTGTTACCACACAAGGCGCGCAGAGGCCGGGCTGGTATTTCCAGAGGGTGGGGAGGGTGGGGAGGGGAGTCTCTTATTAACATTCTTACATCAGGGCTCCTCCTCCCCGCACCCCTACTCTTCCCACCCCTCCCCTGTCCCTGACTCCCACTCCTCGCCAGCCCCTCTGCCTTTTCCTTAAATCCGCAATCGCTCGCTTCTACAGCCGCGGAAGCCCCCACCGAGCTACACCGCCACCGGGGTCCCCGCCTCTCTCTGGCCGGGCACGCGGCAGCTCTGTCTCCAGCTCCGGGCTTTAAAAATGGAAATGTGTTTTAAAGTAAAGAAACGCGCGCAGACACACTCACACGCGCGCGCGCGCGCCTTGAAAAAAAAAAAAAAAAAAAAACGGGATTAAGGGAAAGGGATGGCCCCAGAAATTGGTGGTTTGGTTGAAAAACAAACAAACACACACCCTGGCTCCCGTTTGCTCTCACCTCTCTCTCACTTCAGTCACAATCTCTCCACACGCGCCAACTTGGGACGGGCTCTCGACCTTCGTGGTCCCCTGGCGCAAGGTCAGGAAACAGGGACCAAGGTCCCAGGGCAGATGGCTGGGTCGAGGGCCTGGAACGCCCAGCTGCCCGGGCGTCCTCGCCCCGCTTCTTCCCCTGCTCCCCACCCCCGGCGGCCACCTCCCCGCGAGCTGCGCGCTTTCGCGCAGGAGTCGCCGTGCCGCGCGGGATCCAGTGTCCCAGCGCACCCACATCTCCCGCGGCGCGCGGCGAGCAGAAAAGCGAAACTTGTTGCTTCCAAAGGGAAAAACAATTCTTCTGAAGGTAGCAGAACGCTTGAAAAACATCTCCAAGGCGTCCTCTGGGCTTTATGTGCTAAGCCAGGTAACTAAATAAAGAGACCTTCTCCCTAAAGCTTCACCCCTGAGGATCCCCCGGGTGCAGGCGCGTCATCAGCCGCCATCCGTGCGCTCGGAAATCCCACCGCTTCTCCCCGGTGCCCTGGATCCTGCAATGCGGAGGAAGACCTGCGGCCAAGACTCAGTCGCTTGTCACTTGTCACAGGCAGGCACAGCAGCGGGGGAGGCGAGGATGGACACGGTCGTGGAGAAGTTGGTGGCCGGAGGAGCCTCGCCAGGGTCCGCCGAGCTGCGGGGCAGGTTCGAAGGGAACTTGACCCTTCGATCGTGGTAACACGCCGAGGTCATTTGCAGTATGAACGTGCTATATTGGACTGGTGAATTCTGATATTTAAATCCCACGAATTAAAATAAATTGGAAAATGTTTTCAAAGGTCTTTCATTTGACTGGGCGTCCGTGTCCACAAATTCGTATTCGTCTTAGACCAACGCCCTCTTTCGGCAGAAACTTGTAGCCGACTTGTATCCCCGATGCCATCATTCCGAGTTCGCTTTTTTGTTTCTTGTTTGTTTGGTTTTTTGCTTTGTTGAACTCCAAGGCCTCAAAGAGCAGTCGCTCTCATTTATGAGGATGAAAAAGGCAAATCGGGGCTTCCGGAGATGTTACAACTTCAAGCATCAGCGCTCATCAGCCTTACCAGCACCCTCCTTATCGCTCTTTCTGGCACCATAAATATAATGATGAGTAAAGTTTCACCCTCCAGGGCTTTTAGATTTCACGTTATGCACTGCGATCCCTGAATCTTCAAGTAGGATCTTCTAACTCCTGCGAAAACTTTTATTTTATTAGAGCTGCTAGCCGGTAGCAAACGAGGCATCCGTATACAATTTAATTCCGCAAAAAAACGTAGTCTTCACACACTGGAAATTAAGATTTAAAGCTTCACAGTGATTAAAAAAAAAATCCCCCCTGAACTCCTAGGAAAGAGAGAGAGAAGGAAGAAGGAAAGGAGGGAAGGAAGGGAGAGAGGGGGAGAGAGAGAGGCTAAATCCCGAATTCCGAGGGTCTTAATGGATTTCGAAACTGGTTGCCAGGAGACGTGAAGGAACCAGGGTTTGCCATTACTGCTCGCCCTGCTCTGTGTCTGGGGAACTCTGGCCAATGGCGACTTGATGCTGCGCATGGTGTAGCGTAGCTTAGTCGGAAAGGCTGGGGTGACCCGGGGCGAGAACGCCTCTCCCCTTGCAGGCGCTGCCCATTCGCGCCAAGGGTCACGGGCAGGGCAGTGCCTTTACCGTGGAATGAGTATCACAGCCTCTGAGTGGCCTTTGGATCAGAGCTCTCAGCTTCCAGACTGTCATTCAAGAGCCCTGACAAACTCAGCCCTGTAAGGGAAGAGTCCCCAAACTAGGCAGCTGAACCAGAGAATCCGGTGCTCAAAACACCCCTTACATTTTTCCATTGAGCAGAAATTAGGATGTATTTATTGAGGTACAATTGGCATATGACATTATACTAACCTGAGGGATATAACGCAATGATTTGATACTTATATATACTATGAAATCATCTCCACAACTCTACTTGACATCGTCACCATATAGAGTTAGAAAACAAAAATTTTTGTGTGATGAGAACTTTAATATCTGCTCTTCACAACTTTCAAGTATGCCATATAGCGTTACTAGCTATAGTCACTATGCTGTACATCACCATGACTTAATCATTTTATAGAAATTAGGATTTTTTTTAAGTTTTTCAAATGAAAATAGGCACAAGATTATAGGAAGAACTGCCAAGTAATATAAGTATATGGACTTAACATTACCAGTTTATTATCTTTCCATCAGACTTACCCAGGCAGCTGAGAGTGTGTGTGAGTATCATGAATATCATGGAGTTCTTCAATCTTATGGCTGGAAAAATCTTATAAGTCACCTAACCTGAGACATTTTGTTCTCTACGTGAGGAATCTAGGCCAAAGAATATAAATGCCATACTTATATACCTCTTCACCCCCTGGAAGATACTTTTTAATGGCACTGAATTAGAAATAAATATTTATTACACCATGTAAAAAAGGGTTGGGAACAAAGTTAAGTGCCATTTAAGAGTAATATGTTTTATATCAAAAATTTATTTTATATGTTGCTGTTTTGAAAACTTGCAGCATAGTAAGAAAGATACTAATAGATTGTAGTCTAATTTTTGCAGCATCATGATCATAAAGATGAATCAAACCATGTAGGTAGGAAAAAAAAAAAGTAGGAGTAACTCATGCCTTGGACTCAATTTTTAAACATTATTCTCTTCAATTCTGTAAAACACTGAAATGGGAGGCAGGAGGTGGAGGGAGAAGCACTTTTTTTAACAATTCAAAAGATTACTAACCTTTTCACTGAATGCATTCTTTCTGACTACAATTCCGAATGAAAACAAAAGAAAGTTACAGGGAATTGCTGTGAAATAAAATTAGCCAAATGAAAAGCAATGTTAACCCTAAATGTGATATTATAGAAACTAATACACTTTTAATAAGATTTAGATCTCTTTTCATCAATATCTATAAATCATATTTTTTAACTTTATTACTAAAATCAAGTGGCAAGTTTTCTATGAAGTATTCAGCTGTTTTTCATCTGTGAAATGAAATTTTGTCTCTATGGCATTACTCTGCCAACAGGGAAAACAACATCCTATAGGGAACGTCAACCAGCCATTGTTTGAAATATACATGCCATCAGAACGAAGTTTTCTCCACCCGTTGTCACAGTCTGTACCATCTCCCTCAGAAGCCAGGCTGCAATTTCTAAAGTGACTTTCAAAATGACTCTCCTCTCCCTTGTTAAGCCAGCCCTGAAGTCTTATTGAAGAATAATGCTATGAAGCCTGTAGCCCACAAATAAAGTATCTTATGGGGACAGAATTGTTGAAAACACACTTCCCCCTAGAGGCAGAAAACATGAAAGAATATTGCATGTAATTCAAGAACATTTCTGTAATTCAATGAGTGCTGAGATTTTGTTTTTAACATACAACTGATTCTTTAGAGGGAGATATGGGAAGAAAATCAATAAATGGCCAAAAAAAAATTTAATTGAAAACTTGCCTCTAGGTTTTAGCTTTCCTTAGCAGAGACTTTGTTAATTGATCTCTTCCCTTCTTTTATACAAATCTACAGTTTTTTCCCAGCACTATAATAATAGCAATTACATATATTTATTTAAATTTAAACTTATGATTTAATTTCATCAGAAAATGCAGTTAAATGTGGTCTCGAAGGACCCTTTTGAAAATGCAGCTCCAGTAGATTTAGCTCCTTATGGTCAGATTTGTTTCTGTATTACAATGTATTTGTAACTGTCCTCCTCAGTTTCCATTAACTGCAATCTCTCTTCATTTCTTTGGAGATGTTCCAAGATAGAATGATATTAGAAACACTTCTGAAAAATGTAGAACTCATCTGTGATTTAGTCTGAGTTTTTGGCATGAGGTTTTCTGAGATTGGCAAGCTACATCAAGAATTCTCACCGTTGATTTATAGACCAGTTATTTAATATAAATCATGAGATTCACAAAGATAAGTGTATGTGCCTCAACTTCACCCATGCCAATTCTGACTCCATTTAATTGGTTTACATAGTCGTACATGGCATTATGTCAAAAAGGACTTAAGAAGGCATGTAAAAATATAAAATGGAACTTTAGAGAATTTTCCTCAGGGCAAAGTGCACAGCCATTGCATCCTACTCTCCTACTCTTTTTTCTTAAGATTTTACTGACTATTCCAAGCTTCAGCAACAATCACTTCTCCCATCTGAGTTCCCACAGCATCCTTTGGGGTCGTGATCACATGCGATTTTATTTCCAGAAATTTTATTTCCATTTACAAGGAGCCAGTCTGGGTGGGAATCTAGTTCTCAGGGTGATAATCCTGTGGGAATAAAATGCATTTAGAAGCCTCACAATGTGTCCCAAGGTTATCTCCTCACCTATCTGCCCTTTAGTTTCCCCTTTCCCTCAGTTTTCCCCTTCTAAAATGGAGATAATAATCTTGTCCTGGTGTTGCAGAAAAGTCAGAAAAAAAAATATGTACAGTGCTTTGTATAAGTAGGAAATTAATAAATGTCAGCTGTTATTACATTGCCTTCAGTGCCTGGGTGAAGAGCA